ATTCTGTTGTCCTGATTATAAATATCTTACTTTAGTATGGTACATTTTCTCACAATTCAGAAACAAATATTGATACATAATGATTACCTGAAGTCCATACTATATTCAAATTTCTTTCTTTCTTTTTTTTTTTTTTTTCACCTAATACCCTTTTTCTGTCCCAGGATCACACCTAGGATGCCACATTATATTTAGTCATTATGTCTTTTTTGGCTCCTCTTGGCAATAGCAGTTCTCAGACTTTCCTTGCTTTTGATAACTTTGCAAGTGCTGAGGTATATTGGTCAGTTATTGTGTAGAATGTTTCTTAATTTAATTTTTCTCATGATTATACTGGGTGATGGGTTCTTGGTGGGAAGCCTGTTACCAGCAGCGAATCCACCTGGGTCTTCAGCAAACTCGATTGTTGCCTCCTTGGAGGAAAGAATTCAACTGAGAGCCAGAAGTAGGTGTAAGGTAGAGGGAGGGACTGAGGCCAGTCTTAGAGCAGAATTGAGTGAGTGTTTATTAAAAAGTTTTAGAGCAGGAGTGAAAGGAAGCAAAGTACACTTGGAAGAGGGCAAAGTAGGTAACTTGAGAGATCTCAGTGCCCTGTTCAGCCGTGGTTTTAAACATTGGCATGGTTCCAGGATTTGTGTTTTTTCTCCCCTGATTCTTCCCTTGGGATGGCCTGTCCACATGCACAGTGGCCTGCCAGCACTTTGGATGGGCCACAGGCACAGTGTGTTTACTGAAGTTGTATTCCTGCTACACTCTAGGCATTTTTCCTTACTCATCAATAGTTCCTGGAGGAGGGTCATATTTCAGTTAAACTGCCACTTTGCCTCTTAGTGCATATGCTTGAACCTGCTCACCCAACTCCTGAGATCTTATCAGGAAGCTGCTGATTACCAGCTTCAGGTGTTTCCTGTCTATTGGGAGACTGCCTTTCCCTGGCACCAGCTCTGACCAACCATTATTTTAGAGAGACAGTTTAACAACTGCCTAACTATCACCTAATGGTCGCCTGACATTCTTGGAAGGGCGCCTCTCTCCTGCACTGGTCATGTCTGCCTAACTACCTACTCGTTATAACAAGACCACAGAGATAAAGTGCCCATCACATCATATCAAGGATTCCACACCATGATTTATCACTGATAATATTGAGTTTGAACCAATGTCTAGGTAGTATTTGTCAGATTTCTCCACTGAAAAGTTACTCTCCTGCTCTCTTCTCTCTATACTTTACTCTTTAAGAGAAAATGTCTAAGCACAGCCCAGGCTTAAGGAGTAGGAGTTATATTCCACCTCTTTGAGGGGAAAGTATCTGTATAAATTGATATTCTTCTGTATGTGAAATGTGTCTATTCCCCCCCCAATTTCTTTATATATTCAATCATTTTGTTATATCATTATGAACTCAAGAAATTTTGTGTTCTACTTTTGGTTGTAATCCAAAGTCTTAGTCTGTTTAGGCTATTGTAATAGAATACCATAGACGAGGTGGCTTCTAAACAAATGAAATCTCTTTCTTAGAGTTCCTTCTGGAGGCCAGGAAGCCCCATATCAATGTGCCAGCAGATTTGAGGTAGTGGGGGCCCACTTCTTGGTTCATAGATGGCCATCTTCTCATAGGGTTCCCATGTGGCAGAAAGAGCAAGGGAGCTATCTAGGATCTCTTTTAAAAGGGCACTAATCCCATTCATGAGGGCACCACTCTTATAAACTAATAATCTTCCAAAGGCTTCACTGCCAAATACTATCGCATAGGGAATTAGTTTTCAACATATGAATTTTTGGAAGATACAAAAATTCAGTCTATTGCATCTGGTACAAAGTTTTTAAAATTCAAATTATCACAATTTTGCCCATTGAGGCTCTTTTAGTTTACTCGTACGTTCCTTTGACATATCAATTTTTGTAGCCCTTCCTTACTTTCTGGCATTGCAAGATGTTTCAGGCTCCTCTTGTATATTCCTTGCCGAGTCTTGAAATTAGCTATTTCTTCAAGGAGTCCTGGCTCCTTTTGTTAGAGAATGGTATTAAAAGTCAAGATCTAAGGATCAGGTATGGAAGTATTTTTATTTTCTCCATTTTATATACAAGGAAATTGAAGCTTAGAATGGTAAAGTAATCTGCCCAAGGTCATGCCTTAGAAAACTGTAGAATCCAGATAAAACTCAGATCTGTCTGTTGTTATAACTGTGGCATGGTTTCTTACCTATTTTTTTCCTTTTGGGGCATCAGTCTGCTTTCCAATGAACTTTAAGAAATGCTGGAAGTTTTCCTGGTCTGTTGACATGTATTGTATTTCAGCATTCCTTTTCTTACTATCCCTGAGATCAGATTTTTGTAGGGTTTATTTAAGACAATGGCACTTTAGTTAATGGTTCTAATCTAAAATAAGTATCTTCAGAGGTAGTGCTAAGGTCTGAGAGCGATTTTTCCATGTTTTGAGAAATCTAATGGAAATCATATGTTTATCCATGACACAACTGCCCAGACTAAGGAGAATGTCACATTTCTTTGATTCTATATCAACTCAATGTGTCTGGCTACATCAGTTATTTCAAACCATTAGAAGCTCTGATTGGTTGACGATGATGTCATAGAAATTTCTGAAGTTAGGAAGGACAATAAAGAGTCTTTGGGGGTGGCAATGTTGGGAAAGTCCACATTTATTACTGTTCTGCTTGTGATCCAACTCAGATTGAGGAGGACCCATTATGAGAGTTGTCTGTGTGTATGGCAGGGAAAGAGTAACTTTTTTGGATATAAAGTAGACATCTATATATTTGGTTTATGTTTTACCAATTTGCTGTAATGTTTTAATGTTCAAAATTCTGGTCCAAGTTACTTTTAATTTCTCCTTCATTTTAGATGCCTGCTTAAAATATTTAAAGTGTACACATTGGAATGATTTTTTTGTATTCTATTTTCTGAAGGAAAAATCTATATCTTAGTGTAGATAAGCATATGGATCTATTTAATATGTTCAAAAGCAATGCATATGAATGACTCAGAGCTTAAGTTTGTGGTGCTTGGATGAATTGCTTGTTGGGATGGACTCAGAAAGGTGGGAGGAGAAAGGGGGAGGGATGAACAACAACTCAAACGGGAGAGGAGAAATATGTGATGCTAGAAAACAAAAGAATCATGAGCACCAGGAAAAGATAAGTGGTTTTGATAGAAGCAAAGTTCTCAGTGAATATTAACAGGGCCTGACTTCATGTTTCACACAATTGTGTTCACATGAAGCCATATGAAGACACTGCAATTAAAATGTTTAGAAACAGAAAATGTTGTTTGAAAGACAGCTTTGAGATCATCTAATTCAGCAGTTCTTGATCCTAAGCTACACACTAGGATCACTGGGGAAGCTTTTAAACGATACACATGTCCAGGTGCCAACCCTTAAGTTTCTGATTTAATTGGTTTTTGACACAGCCCAAGCATGAAAATTTTTAAAACCTTCCTTTTAATTCTAATGTACATCCAGCCTTGAAACCATTGATCTAGTTGTTCCTTTTTTTTACATTACAAAGCATTTCAAATACACAAATAGTGAAAATATATTTAAAAACGATGATGTGTTTACTACCTAGATTGAACATATAAACTTATTGCCACATTTGTTTTATTTTTGTTTTTCAAGAAGTATAATGTCATAGGTATCCTTAGACTTTCTCATCCACCATCAAATCCCATTGCCTCTCCTCCGTTTCCAGAGGCAACTGCTATCTAGAAGTTGGTCATATCCTCCCCATTCATAATTTTTATATGTTTACTATATAGGTATATACACTTCTGATTGTTTTAAAATTTTGTATACATAGTATCACAGTACATGTATTCTTTTGCATTTTTCTCTCCTTCCCTCCATTCCTTCCTTCCTTCTCTCTCTTCCCTCCTTCTTTCTTTCCTTCTTTCTTTCTTTTCTTTCTTTCTCTCTTCTTTCTTTTTTTCTCTCTTTCTCTCTCTTTCCTTCTCCCTTTCTCCCTTTTTCTCTCTCTCTTTCTCTCTTTTGTCTCATTCTGTTGCCCAGGCTGTAATGCAGTGGCATGATCACAGCTTACTGCAGCCTCAACCTCCCAGGTTCAATTAATCCTCCTACCTCAGCCTCCCCTGTGTGGCTGAGACTACAGGTGCATACCACCACACCTGGCTACATTTTGCTTCTCTTATTCAACATTGTGTTTTTGGAACTCATCCTTGTAATTCAAGCTCATTAATTTTAACTGTAGTATCCTGTCATATTTGTATGCATTCCCTTACTTATGGGTATCTAAGTTGTTTTTCTCATTTTGTTTTGGTTGGCTTTTGGTATGATAAACATAGTATGGTGGACATTTTTGTATACGTCTTGTTGAGCACATAGAAACAAGCTTCTCTAGGGAAGAGCTTATATACAATTCTGTAAAGCAGTGTCTCGCAATTGGGTAGAAGATGTGGAGCCCCTCAGCCCTCAGGGAAGCCAAGTGGGACCTGAGGTGACCACAGCCCCTCAGTGGGTCACCTCCTGCTGTGAGCAGCCTCCTCAGCTTACCCCAATGTGCTCTATGAATATTATCCTTCTCTATGTGCGTCATAAGGGGAAAAGGTGGAAAACACTGCCCCAAGAAATATACTTAGAAGTGGCCATCCTGTGTTGTAGAGTAAGCACACTTAACTCTGTAAGTTATTCTAAATAATTGCTAAATTATTCTAAGAATTATTGTACCAATCCTCATGCCTACATTGTCAGACTGGAAAATTTTTTGCTAGTCTGATAGATGTAAAATGATATCTTAATTTGCATTTTCCTAATAAGTTAGAAAGTCTTTCCTTATGTTTACTGGTGTATGTCTGTAGCTTATAAATCCTCAATTTCTATCCTCTGCACATTTTTCCATTGAGTTGTGTGTTTCTTTTTCTCACTGATTTTTAATGACTGTATATATTCTGGATACTAATATTGTGTTGGTTATATGCATTGCAAATATTTTACTCCAATATTTACATTTAACTTTATTTTAGAATCACTTTTCTTAAAAGTTTTTATTTTTTAGTTGTGCTTCAAGTGAAGAAACGTGAGGCTTGTGGTTACATGGTAATAATATTTTAGTACCATATGATGTCACCATGCTTGCTACTCTAAAGCAATATAGGAAGATTGAAAAGAACGCTTGTCTGAACCCAAGATTACACAGGTCTTCTACATCTGCTTCTAATAGTTACTGGCAAAAGCTAGTATAAAAAAATAATTTGTTCACATTAGTTACTTAATTACCTGATTAAACTGACACACAGTGATGAACAATTAGTCACCTAACCCCAAGTCATACACCTGGTTAGTGCCAAAGCTGTCAGAATCTCACACCATTTCCCAAAGTTTGCTCTGTGGAACCCTAGTCCTTGAAAAGCATTCTGTGGCCAATTTCATTTTACATTTTTTTCTCCTCTTAAAATTTCAGAGTTTACAGTGTGATATTAAAAGTTCTGTTAAGTCTTGCAATTAAAAACACAACCAACTTTCCTTTAATGAGCACTTTCTAAACATATTGGTCTGTGGAACCCTCCTTTGCTATGGAGCACCTAATAAAACAACAAGGAACCGATATTCTGTGGAATGGACTTTGAGAATCTCTACATTTAAAAATATTCCTCTTCAGTCTCCAAGGTTGTCTTCTTCTGGGTTGGTACTTTGTCGATAAAATCTAATAAACATATAAAAACAGAAGCTCTAACATTCATTATACTGAACTTTAAACACTGGCATATAGTAAAGAGATTCCACTGGCTTCAAGGAGAAATAATAACACTGATTTTACCCCCTATGGGGTCTCATGAGTTACTCTATGAGAATCCATGATAAAAATATTTCTCCCCCTTTTATGTGCATCTCTTAAATAATGTGGGAATTATTGTGGTGCATGGTATTATGATCCATTCTTGGGTCCTGTAGGGTAAGATAGGGCTCTTTAGAAGGGTGTGTCACTCGCTGGAGGACCTAGAGTCCTAAGGCAGAAGACAGGAACTCAGAAGTTGGACCTTTGCTAGGGGCAGAGTTTCTCGCTGGACTCTGTTCTCTTGGGTTCAGAATTTAAGAAACAAAATCATCCAAGCCTATGCTCCTAAGAAGTGGGTACTAAGATAGTTGCAAGCTTGGGTTTTCAAGCTCTGGAGAGGAAGGTATCCTTATGAATCAGGAGTAGGAGGCAGATGTTTGCTACATATATTTCTCTCCATTTAAATTTTGAACAAGTATATGTAATATATACTCAAAAACTTAAGGAAATTATTAATGAATAACTAGATTTCATCTAATTAGTCAGCACATTTATCAAAATTCCACTGTGTCACCAGGTATGGTGGCTCACGTCTGTAATCCAGCACTTTGAGAGGCCACGGCAGGTAGATCACCTGAGGTCAAGAGTTTGAGACCAGCCTGGGCAACATGGTGAAACCCTGTCTCTACTAAACATACGGAATTGGCCACTGTGGTGGAACATACCTGTAACCCTAGCTGCTCAGGAGAATGAGGCAGGAGAATCACTTGAACCCAGGAGACAGAGGTTTCAGTGAGCTGAGATTGCAGCACTGCACTCCAGCCTGGATGACAGAGAAAGACTATCTCAAAAAAAAAAAAAAAGAGAGATTCCACTGTGTCCCTGATCCCATATTAGAAATGATGACAACCATAAAAGTAGAAAGTACCTATGAGGAAGTGATTTGCAAAAGATTACAAATACATAAATTGTGCTCATACTCAGAAAAATGGCAAGAACGATACATATGTAAATGTTAACGATGGTGGTCTCTGAGTTGCTAGGAATATTGGTGGGCTTTTTTTTTTCCTTACTTCTAATTAAGAATTGTCTATATTATTCATATTAACACATGTGACATTTCTAATAATTTTTTAAAGTTAACTTTATTTTTAGATGTACAAGAAAAATAATTTTATGTAAGTATGCCAATGCAGAGATAATTTTAAAACTAATACGTGTTTTGCAAAGGCCTCCCAGCCCCCTCTGTATGATGTCTGTATCATCTATAATAACTGGCCACAGATTTTCACTATAATAGAAGAAGGCAGTTTGAACATTAGTGATATCCACAAGTTTTGTAGTGATATCCACAAAGTTTGGAAATAGATAGGCCGTGGGGCTTGGGTCCCAAGTTTGCCAATTACCATTGTGCCTGACCTTGGTTAAGTTCCTTAGCCTCTCTGAATGTTCGTTTCCTCATCTGCTGAGTGGGTAAAATAATGACGCCAACCCCCATAGGAGTTTTGTGAGGATCAGATGAGAATTCATCAAAGCCCTGAGCCCAGTGGTTAGCACGTGGTAGGCACTGAGGATTGTTAGCTCATGCGAGGAGTTTGAGTCAAGACCTTCAGCTAAGCTGGGGCAAATGCCTCATATTTGATACAGACAAATCAGCAGGCATATGCATTTGCAGAGGATACTTAGCCAAAAATCAAGATGTAAACTGGCTTTGGAGAGAGAGGTACTATAAAATACTCAAGAGAAGGGTTAACGTTTTTTTTTTCTACAATAAGATTTAGGAAAAAGAGAAGGTGGCAGGGTGAAAATCAATCAAACAATCTTAGACAGGAGGTGTAGTGTGACCTGTGGGAAGGAGATAAATGCAAGGACTATAAAGCTCCTGACCAAACAAAACCAAAAAGGGTATGAAAGAGAGGGTTTGATACCAGGCCATGAATAGAATTTCAGGAAAATGAATGATGGTATGGGATTACCATGTTATAAATCAATGAGGTGACTGAGATGATATCGTAAACCAGAAGAACAAAACTCAAATAGATATTAATGACACCTGACCTTGGATATTAACCTTCAACATAGTCATTTGTAATGTAAAATCCCTGGTTAGACAATCTACCCTATTACCATATGGTTCTTTTTTTGAGAGGAGGAAGCGGCGAGGATCAGGTTTGGAAAGTAGAAAAATAAAAGCGATTTAAAACAGGACATTTGGGCTTTGAAGGCAAAGGGGTTTGGAAAGATTTGATAGTGCTGAGGCTGAGCTATCAAGTATCATGGTGGTGTCAGGTTTGTTTTCTGGGAAATATTTGAACTAATTTTATCAGCAGCATTTCTCTCAGGCTATTTACTACCTGAATATTTGTCGAGGCCTCTAGAAGAGGCAGCCAAACATGTACATCTGAAATTCTTTCTATTTGGAGCACAACTTGGGTGGGGAAGGCTCTCTTGTAACAGGGGTGGGGAACTGACAGTAGATGTTGCTGCAAGAAAGATGAGATTTCAGGAGCTGTCATCAGGATTGCGACTTCTGGTTGCAGTCGATATTTTTCCAAATGCCAGCCACACAAGGATTTAAAAGAATGTGCAAAGAAGCATGTGGCGTGCTCCTCATGAAGCAAGAACAGGCTAAGTGGCTCGCTTAGCATCACGCCCCCCAGCCAATCACAAGCTTGGGCACCCCGGCCTTTTCTCTGCAAGGCCTTGGCCACATGCCCTCCTATACAATTGTGAGGAGATTGGATGAAACACGATGGTATTTAAAGCACTCTTCCATGGCGCTCTTGCAGTTGTAAGATTTCCCAAGAGGCAGTTGCCAAGATTATGTTCTTTCCCACTGACTTTTAATTTGTAAATTGTAATGGGCTCCCCTTTAGATATGGCGATATAGGTAGCATTCCACCAGGTGGCCAGAGAAGAGATGATCCCATGTAAATCTTTGGGGTACACTCTCTGCCATGATGAAAGGTGCAGGAAAAAGCATAGTGATCAAATTCTCTTATGGTTGGACATGAGGCTTGTAGAAACTCTGGTCTTAAAAGAGATCTGTTATCAACTATGTTCTTAAAGGAACTTCCAAAAAAATCACATAATTTTGTTTAAAAGTAAACCACCCTCATAAAGGAAGAGGAAACACATCAACCACTGGACCATGTTTCTCTTCATATTTTTACCCACACTATTCATGCAAACCATGCTGGCAGCTTTCCCAGATTCTTAGCACTGCCTTGACACTCTTCTCTCCTCCTGGTGTAACAGCCCTATTTGCATTATTACTTTTAGAATCCCTCCTTCTTTTCAACGCAGGAGGAAAACAGATTCACCCTTCCTGGGCACTAAAAACATTATCAATAGTGTACGAGAATATACCTGTATTTCAGTATCAGGGCCCTTAAAAAGGAGATTAATTTGAGAATTGCTCAATAACTATCCTATGAATAAAACTGTAAACAGATTTACTAAGCAATTAAACTTCACATTTCAGATAAGTTGCAGCTATTTCTCATTGGATTTCCTACCGAGTTTTCTTTATTAAACTGTAGGTAAGAGTTTCAAAGACAGAGAGAATCTATCACCTTTCATTTTCAATTTTTTGTCATATTTCTTTCGCCTAATAACCTTCTTCTTAAGAGTTTCGCACTGGTTTTACTGAGTCCAAGGCTAAGCTGATATTACTTAGCTACTTCTCTCCAAGTTGTGCCATACACTGTTGAGAGGCTTCCAGATACCCAGCCTGAGAAACTCAGCATTCAAGACATCTAGTATAGCCAGGATAGTCTTTTCTGCAAAACCTTCTACCATCCCTTGTTTTTCTTGCTTGGTTTTTCTTCCCGGACTTTCGTTCTCTGTTTGTTGCATTTCTCTAGTAATACAGCTAAAGTTCATTTATTCCAACCATCTTTCTTGATGTGTAATAGTCCCTTGGGTGAATATATGACTATTTTTTGTTGTCGTTACCCTATTGATAGACACAGGTTAGTTCCATTTGGGGGCTGTTACAAACAGTGCTGCTAGGAACTTCCTTGCACATGTAGCCTGCTACCCTCATGCAAGAGTTTATTGAGGATTTTTACTTGGGAGTAGAATTGCTGAGCCATGAGGGTATACCTGTCTTACTACATAATGCCAAACTATTTTCCAAAATGATAGTTCCAAACAATTCCCTATGGAACCAGGCTGCATGTCAGGCTCTGAGCCGACCCTGTGGCCAGCAAAATACATTTACCCCTCTCCGCCGACAGTACAACAGTGCTTCCTTATATTCTACTGAGAAGAGTGGATCAGTCATCTTCCAAATAAATAAGAACCCCAAATGGAGAGACTCCTATCTCTGCTCTATCTCTCTGTCTCTCTCACACGCGCGCGCACACACACACACACACGCACACACGCACACACACACATACACACTACTCACTTTCTGCCTCCCCAGTGCTGTCAATCATTGTACAGAAGCTGCACATTCCCTGCTGTTTTTTCAAATTTGAGGTAATTCTTCATCTACTCCTCAAGAAGCCTCTTCTTTGCTTTGAAAAGGATTGCCTTCAGGAGGGCATCTCTAAGACTTTATAACTCTGCTAGGAGGCTAATTCAACAACTCAGCTAGTAGTGACTGGGTACCTACTAGAGACCAGTTGTCTTTTTCTCTGCCCTCAGAGACCTTGGATTTTAATGGCAGTGGGGTGGGGGGCAAGCTAGTCAAAAGCAAACTACTATTTCAGCTCCCCTTATAAAAAACAAACCAACAAACAAATCCTTAGGTTTTTTAGCCTTTTTTCCAGCTAAATCAGGCATGGAAGGCTGGTGCTTTAAGCAAAACATCTTGGTACCGCTATCTAAGTTGCTCTCTGTAAGGGACTTGAATTAGGAGCACTCAGAATGTTTCACCTTTATTAATTCAACAGATGTTTTTGTGAGTTGCCGCTATGTGCAAGGCATTGTTCTGGTGCCCTGTGCTTTCAGAACTACATTCTTTTTTTTTTTTTTTTTGAGTATTTTGTCAAGCTTTTAATGGGCAGGTGACTTTGGCACATTTCACTCAGATCTTGTGAGCTTCTCAGCAGCAATTCAGGGCTTGAGCATTTGATGTAGGGGTGTTGCTATGGCCTCACTTGGTGTTTCTTGGGCAGGTGACTTTTAACTTCCAGCAGGGGGCGAGGGGCCCAGGAAGCTTAGTACCTTCTGCATCTTCTCCTCCTCCTGGATCTGCAGCCTCTGCGATGCCATTGGGTTCTCTCATTGCTTCTCCAGATACTGTTCTTGCCTGATGTTGCCTTAATGGCCCCAAATCCCAACTATATTATTGGCCTGTCCTAGGCCCTAGATAAAAATTTCCTCTTCCACACAGTGCACACTTGCTCTTAGTCATAAAACGACACCGGCTGCCTGGATGTATTTGCACCATGTATGTCTATGACTTCCTTAGGTCTCCCAGAGATTGGTCCAAAGTAATGATAATTACTATTTAAAAAATTATTACAGTTTAGAAAATGCTTTTCAGACTAGGTGCGGTGGCTCACACCTCTAATCCTAGCACTTTGGGAGGCTGAGACAGCCAGAAAACCTGAGCCCAGGAGCTCAAGACCAACCTAGACCACATGGCAAAACCCTATCTCTACAAAAATAAAAAATATTAGCTGGGCATGGTGGCATGTCTATGATCTCAGCCACTTAGGAGGCTGAGGTGGGAGGATTGCTTGAACCCAGGAGGTAGAGGTTGCAATGAGCCACTCCAGCCTGAGTGACAGAGGGAGACTCTGTCGAGAGAGAGAGAGAGAGAGA